AACCTAAGCCCCAGCGATGCAACCCATTTCTTAAAATCTCTCCTACATGCAAAACAAACAGAACTGCGTACCTCCGTTTGGTATCAAAAAATACTCAAGTTATCAACGTGTACCCAGCCCCTCAAAAACTCCCTCCTGAACAGAAAAGAACAAATCATCATCACCCGCCCCAGACTAGGACACTCATTCTTAACAAACGCCCACTACCTCGACAGAACTAGGAACAACGTGTGCCCATTATGCAACATCTCCCAGATTGACATCCACCATATTATTTGCTCCTGCCCCTCCCTCTCCACGCAAAGATCCTTATTCCTCAATAATCCTGATCCAATCACCACCATAGCTAACCCCACAGATACACACTCCCTAAACATCCTCAACTCTCTAAACTATGACCTCCCAAATCTAACTAAATCAAAGTTTTTCTAAATAAAATGTAAATAGTAATCCCTAGCAATATCTTCTATATACTCATAAGCCAAACATTCACAAGCCTTATTCTAACTTAAGCCGAACTGAAGGCCCAAGCTGCTATTGCTCCTAGCCATTTGTTAGCTTTTAGTTTTAACTTATTGTTAGCCTTAGATAAATAAATAAATAAAAGATCTAGTTTATGACTTCATTCACATTCTTAAGATGATCTCTACTACTAAATTTGAAAATCCTTGCTCTGATTCTACAATTTCCCCCGCCTTTCCATGCTCATCTACATGCCCGTTAATATTTTTAGATTTCAGGCAAAGTAGATCAGCGGCCATGGAAATGAGCAAACGGAAGTGGGCAAAATTAGCGTTTGTAAATAAATGAGCAGTTCTCATATGAAATTCATCGGCTTAATTTCCACCTCCGTCTCTCTCCCAGCCCGACTTCTCCCTCCTCTCTCTTTCTAAACATTCAACTCAGCGCAAAAAGCAAAACAAAAAAAAACTAGACGAGAAAAAAAGCATAGAAGTCGAGCGCACATTGAAAATCAAGTAATTAATTTCACACGGAGTAAGTTGCAAAGTTAATTGGCTTAGTGCTGGCTTTTGGCTGACTCTAACTGGTTAGTCGCAAAAAAAAACAGTAATGGGAAACTGAGTTTTCCGACTGGCAGATACTTAGTAATACAGTTTTTGATCTCTCAATTGAATTCTACTAAGTGTAAATTTTGTTTTTGCTTGCTTTTTAGGTGGCTATTTAAACCAACGAAAGTGATATGTTTAATGGGAAGGAATTTAATTGGGAATAATTATGAAATATTTTAGAAAGAGTTAAGACTTTTTACCACACATTTATATAGATTATAGTTTATTATAAATATTTTAAATATTAAATTGAAATTGAATATCCTTTGACTAATCTGTGTTTCCAAATGTTAAGAGATTTTTTGCAGATTATTTTAGCAACAACCTTCTACTAACGAAAGTGATTTAAATATATTTTAGTTTATATATTTAATTAAAAAATAATTGAATTAGAAACGGTTTGTCAACCTATTTTGTTGGTCTTAGCTAAGAAGCTCATTTTATAGATTATCAATTTGTTTTGATATGATTGATAAAATGATATCCACATTTTAAAGCTAAAAAGTGATTTAATATAATTTTTTAGAACTAATTTTGTTTCTTATGGATTTCTCTTTGGGCATAACAACTTTAGTTTAACTATTAACATTAAAAATGATTTTCATAAGCATTTCATTTCACTAAATTTTGAAGCATTTCCTGTTTATTTTATGATTTATTTATTATATTTAGCTAAAAAGTTACGAATATAATCTGAAAATTGGTAGGGAAACATATTTAAATAAATGAAAATGTAATTTGGAAAATGTTTCATCTTGATTGGAAATGGTTATAAAAATATAGATAATTTAATTTAATTTAATTTAGGTTGTTTGGTAATGACATACCGATTCTTACATTCAAATTTCGCGCTTCGCTTGTGAAGTCAAATATAATCTATATTATATATCTATACTATATATATATAGTTTCTGGCAATGCTGTATATCGTTTGAAAGGTATTTGCAGCACCTTTAAAATGACATTTAGTTATTATTTACCTGAGCTTCCACGTTAAAAAGTTACAATCGATTAAAATGGAGCTCACAAACGCAGAAATTCGGACAGTTTTCACAAACTTCGCTGGGAAGTGTTAATGCATCCACATAATAGTCTAATTCTTATAGTCCGGACATTGCCCCAAGCGATTACTATCTGTTTTTGGCCATTCAAAATTTGTTCGATGGACAAAAATTGAGTTCAAGGGAGGATTGAGTATGAAAATCGAATCGCCAAGTTTTTTGCCAGTAGGGACAAGGACTTCCTTAGGAGAGGCATATACAAGTTACCATCAAAATGGCAGAAAATCATCGAAGGCAACGGTTCATATAGGCCTTAAATTGGACCAGTGTTGCCAGGTGATGACCGCACATATAAGCTAAGCGCATAATAAAGCTGGCTTTATTAAAGTTCACAACTCTAAGTGATTGCTGGCAACACATTAGGCAACATATCGATCTTCGATGGCACTATCGATTAGAAATATATTCACGATCATATGAAACGCACATAACCATCGGCAAAAAAAGAACAAGCTCAGATATTTTCATGCCATAAAGCATATTTTTCTTACGAAGCAACGCGTTAATGACGTAAATACATTTAAAGCTAGAATATGCTAGATGAATTTTAAAATAAGCTATATTTCAAGCTATAAGCTAGATCGGGAGTTTTCAAGCTTTTCCAGTTCAAAATATGCTAGAACTAGCTTATAATAAGCTAAACTGGCAACACTGAATCGGACAATGCTAACTATGTTAAAATCGTCGTCAAAAATCAATAAAGAAACCGTTATGTCATTACCAAACAACCTAATATTTAATGGAAAATTGCAATCAAGTAAACAAACTTGATTATTATTCAATACAAGTCCATAATTTTATAGTGTTGAATCTTGCAATCATTTGAAAAGCACAAAAATAAATTGCAAGTAATTGATGAAGCATTTTAATCAAACATTTTGATGAATTTCTATAAGCATTCAAAACAAAAACAAAGGCATTATCTTCATGTTAAATGCTTTTAAAACCGATTCTATATAATTTTTAAGATATTTACATTTCGAAAAGGAACTCTAATTTAGTTTTCAGCTTTTCTCCCCGATTGGTAAGGGGTATGGGAAAACGTGAGTTTGACTTAACTAACCGGAGGCTGGATTATTTTTAAAAGCATTCAACATTCACCTTTCGCTGGGCAACTTTTCTATGAACTTTGGCATGAGCATGTGTGTGGGTTAGGCAGCTCCCCCTCGCTCTTTTTTTTAATCGCATTAGAGAAATCGCGCGATTTACATTGGGATTTACTATAAGGCAGGTCGTGTGGGCGGCGGGTTAGGGTATTAGCAGGGGGCAAAGGGGTCGGTCGGTCGTCGTTATTATTGTTATGGCAGAAAATGAAGTTTATTTTCGCAGCGTCTGCCTGGTGCATGTGCAGTTTATTTCATTTGATTTCCCAGCGCCATTAAAACTATGTTAATTATTGTAATCTGTAATCTGTTTTGTCGTTATGCCCAGAGGGCCACAAATTGTTAGGCTATATTGTCTCTGCAAATGACTGGCGGCTAGTTAAGGCCCACTGGCCCGTATTTAAATTAAATAAGCGGCTAAGGGTTGCAAAAGTAATGTTAAAGCTCTTTTGGTTTTTAGGTTTTCAAGTTAAATAAAAGGGAAATGTAAGTTAATATTATAATTCAGAGGTTTTTCTAAAAACTTTACAATAATAAATTGTTCAGAACAGCAATGACACTCGATGTGTCGTGAGTAATGATTAGCTAATCTCAGTCACTTTTTTATGTTTCCCTATTAACATAAATCTCCAACGGGAGAAAATCACAAAACCGGCTCAGGAACAACGGCCAGAATCGGTTTGAATCGGCCAGAACTAGTGTCAACTAGTTTCCAGCCATAAAGGAAAGCCATTAAGCAAACACCGAGTAATGGGGAAATATATAGAAAAACGTCAACTGTTACACAGACTCGGTTATATATGCAAATGGCGAGCAAACAAAACGTGACAAATTTAATTGGGAAACACCCACCGAAAAAATAAAGGCAATACATAAACACACTCTCTCTCTCTCACAGTAACAACGTGCAGCACACGACACACGATGAGCTTTCCCAAAGTGAAATACAAATTTTCCGCCGGCGATATCGAACGGAAAACAACAAATGCATTTGGTAGAGGGCGGAGGGCAGAAAGGGCTACAAAGCGCGAATTCGTGTTTGCCGTCCGGCGTGACAATGCAGGAAAATGATTAGTCAGAGATAGCTCTAATAAAAGCGAGAAAAGCGGAAAAACGTGAGCCGAAACTCACACGTAAATTGAATTTTCACAATTGTTCAGTCTCTCGGATGTTCTTCTCTAATTGCGAAAATTACACAGAACAGGCAGATGAAAAATGAGCCCACACCAGCCACGATTTATGACATTGAACTCTCCAGTCTCCGAAAAAATAATGGAAAACAAAAGTCACTTGTCAAAGGTATTTATTACAGAACTTAAACGAAATTGAAGACACAGTTAGTGGGTACAACTAAACACAAAGTTAATACAAATAATACAGAAGTAGAACTAATATCAGTTTAAGACTTTTGGAATTTGAAAGTCTAAAGGTTTATGATGTAAAATCAAATTTATTTTGATTAATATTTCTACCCCCATGAAATGCCACAGAAATGATAAAAGGAATTATTAAAAACATTTAAAACAAAGAAAATATTGAAGTTTGTTTGATGTTTTTGAACTTTTACAAGTATTAAATTGATTAACTGAAAATATTTACAGAATATTCACATTTTACCTTTTAAGTTCCTAAATCAAATTCAATCTAAAATCTAAAATTAAAATTGCAAAATACTTAAGGAAAAACCTGAAGAAAAAAACGCAAAGAACTTTCTACATTTCTAACTCCACAGAGGGATCTTTGCGAATCTTTTGCTCAGTGTATACCTTTTTGACGTGGGCGCGTCGCTCGAATTCGATGCCCGCAGGATTGTGATCGGCGATGCCCATTGTAATATCTGGTTTGGTAGTATTAGTACTAAGGGTAGTAGAGTTGTTAACGGTAGCTGTTGGCGTACTGCTGCCTGGATTCTTAGTGGCTGCTGTGAGAGGGGCAGCTGCTGGCAGCGAAATCGAGTCGACATTTCCCTCCATCAGAGCTTCGGCCGCCTGAAGAATTCGCGGACCCGTACTGCTTGAACTGCTTACACTGCTGGCTGGAGCACTGCTTGGGCCGCTGTCATTGCTGAGTCCGATTTCGATGACAATCTTATTCGGTTGCTGATGCTGTTGCTGCAACTGCTGGAGCTGTTGCTGCTGCTGCTGCAGTTGGCGCTGGAGGTTCTTGGGATGCGTCGCCGCCTGTATATAGTTGAGATCACTGCGGGACAGATGATGCTGCTGCAGTGTCGAGTACTGCTGCTCGACAAGGGCCGCCCGGGTCTGGGCCGCCTGGTGACCTCCATTGGCTGCGGCCGAATCGCTGGCCACCTTTTCGCGCAGCTTGACGATGTTCGATATGTTGATGCTGTTCGTCAGCGTGATGCCCGTGATGCAGACCAGGATGATGGTCAGCACGACGCCGCAGATGACCAGGGTGGGCATGCGGAAGCATTTCCGGCTGCACATGGTCACCTTGGAGCGGAGGATTACGGCCAGAAACGCATGCAGGCGGTCGAATTTGGAAGCTTTAACTGGCCCAAAAAGTTCTGGGAAATTGCAGGGCCTTAAAAGTTGTTTTTTAAGTTTTTGTTTACATCTTTTTTGGTTTATTTTTTAAAATATTTTCAAATTTTTTGTTTTATCTAGATAAAAAAACTATTATATTAAGTTATAAGTTGTATTTATCTTAGTTAGGTTGTATCACTATGGTCTTCTTTGTTCTTATAAGTTCTATATTTTTATGACAAACACAAAACGTAGTTTTTTATCAATATTTTTCGGGAGTTTCAGCAAATATTTGATAGCGATTTCCTCTTATCTTTGTTAGTGTCCAACCCGCGAGATTTTCAACAAATATTTGTTTGTAATTTTCTGGTTTGCCAACTGTTGCCAACTCGCACTTGTTGTCCCACAAATGTTTGTTAGGTTGATTTTTGTTTTACTTTGTTTTCATTTATCAGCGTTTACTCAAGCGATCGCCGCGCTTTTGGTGCGCATTTCGAACCGCTCGCTTCTGCAGCTGAAATGCGAATGCAGTGCGCTGATAACTGAGCACTGCTTCTCCGCACTCTCTTTTCCTCTCTCTCTCTCTTGGTTTCTGCACTTCTTGGCCGCTCACCTGGAGAGCGCTGCAGCAGCTTCAGCTAACGCCGCCGCAGCTGCGCAGCTCTGGCAAGCAGTTTCGCAATGCCATTTGTGGTTGTTGTTGTTGTTGCTCTTTTTGGTTGGTTTCTTGGGTAAATATTTGAGATTTTTGTTTTTCTTGTTTTTATTTTGCCTTTCTTTTGGTTTGACTTTTTGACTTCCCACTTTGTTATTGCTTATTTTGTTGGTTGGATTTTTAGGTTGATGTCCATGGTGGGTTTTGCTTTTATTTTATAAAGTTTTTATTATTATTATTGTTTATTCCTGATTTAATTTATATTTCGTTGAACTTATTTTGTATAATTTGTTGAATTTTTGGTTGGAATATTGTTATTTATTGTTAGAATTTTAAAGCTTACTTTGAGTGGATTGAATCGAACAGATTTTTTGGGGTTTTACTGATTTATTTTTCTTGCTTTTTGTTGATAATTTTAAGTAGATTAAGTTGTTGCTTTTCCTTAAAATGTTGGTGTTTTCATTTCAGTTTTCATTTTCAGTTTCATGGATTTTAAACCATTAAAATTAAGTTGAGTTGAGTTAACGGTGAAAGACAATCTTTAAGAATCATAAATTTTAATTTACAAATATATTTTATTTGCTTAAATAGTTTTGTAGTACGACTTCTGTATAGGGCCTTTGCATTGGGTGGCGTTCAGCGATATCAATATTGTTTTTATTCATTTGAACCTTTGAAATCGGGTTTGTGATTTATTTTATTGCTTTGTTTATTTTTGCCCTGGTCTGCTGTTTGTCTTACCAAAAATACACAAATGCACACACACACACACACACACAGGAAAAAAATATGTATGACTCGTTAATGTTCTCATGCAGTTGCGGTTGCTGTTCTTGCTTTGGCTTGGCTTTCGAGGTGTGGCTACTGGCAATAAAATCATTTATTTTCGTGCAGTGATCAACGGCTGGCAAATTGAATTTGCGAAAGCCTTCGGAGCGTGCGACACAGTTTAAACGTTTCGAATTCATCGATAATAAAAGCAATTAAAATGCGGATTTTTTCTTAGACAAGTTTCTAGTGAATAATAATAAAATGAATTCCACACATTAATTGCATTTTTCTATCTCGTTCTCTGTCTCTTTCTCTATCTCTATCTCTATCTACATCTTCATTGATCCATTGATTATATTAACTCATAATTCTCTGCCGCCCCGCAAAATGTTAATGAAATGTCCGCCACTCCTTTCACTTTTTTCCATTCCTTTCACCAACTTTTCTATTCCTATTTCCTGAGCTGTTCAACCTTGACTGTATCTCGGCTCTCACTTTCTAGCCCGGCCAGTGCCAGTTGGGGGTCGTAATGCCCGCCTAATACCCTGCTATTCCCAAAAGGCCTTTAAGACAAACGGATATTTGCGGGCAAGTTGCACCTTTCGGGGGATTTAAATACCCTAAAATGCGGGAATGTAGAGCTCAACAAGAGCTAAGTTAGCGAAAAATACAAAAAATGGCATTTATTTTATCTTTTTGAATGAAATAAACTCATGAAACCTCTTTAAAAAGTGACAGATATTTCTTGAATATTTTCTATTACACATATCGTATACTTTTTCTAGGGTATCTCCTATTCGTTTCAATAACTTTCCCTTGATTTCTTCGCCTTTCTGCCTTTCTGCCTTTGTGCGGTGTATTTCTTTTTTTGTAGGAGGATTTCAGCATTCATTTCATGGGATCTGCACACGCGTCTTGAGTTCAGTGGGGAAAAGGGGACACTTTGCGGATTTAATTGAGCCGACACGCACGCACACCCACACAGGCACACACACACAAACACACACACACACACACAAACACGCGAACAACACACATAGAGAGTTGGCAGAAATCATTCATTCATTTAATTGCATATTAACGCCTGTTGCCTAGACGAATTTATTTCGCTTTTCCTCCTCGTCTCTCGAGCTGCCTTATTTTTTCCTATTGTTTTGCCAAAAAAACAAAAAAGAGAGCAGCTCCTCAGAGCTTTTTTCGCTATTTATTTCAATTAATGAAGCTGCGTCTTTTGTCGCTTAATTAATTCCAAACAAAAGGGCTCTCAGCACATTTTCTGGAGCAGCCGAAAAATAGAGGGCGTGGAGGAAGATGGGGGAGGTCCAAACTGTGCGCATTTCGGGCATTAACGGATTACATTTTCAATTAACATGTTGAGGCATTTCAATTAGTTGTAATTTGTGACAAATTGCTCTGCGTGCGATTAAGGAAAGGAGGAAACAGCGGATTTCCAATGCCCCAAAATAGGTCTTTGTATGTGACGAGAAGTGACTTAAATTATTCACTTTTCGGTGGCAGATGAAAGTGTTTTTTGTTACTACTTCTAAGATCTTAGACATAGAAAAGCAGAAACTATGACTAACAAAGGCATTTAAGTAGCTACAAATAATCTTAAGATTTGAAAATTGGACAGCCTATAACACCTTAAAAGCATCTTAGAGATTCTAAGCCACCAGTACAGCTTAAAAAAACTCAATATTTAGGAAAATTACCCAACCACAAAGATGTGTGCCGGGCAATTCTGCATGGCAAATTGCATAATAACAACATCCATCAAGAATGAAAGAAAAAGATGAAAAATCCAAAGACGCCAGCAGCTGCAGCTGCAGCTGAAGATATATATATATACCAACTGAACCATCGTGCGGCAATCTTTGGCGTTTCATCTTAATTATTTTCAACAGCTTTTCATAAAATTGCGGCTCAAGGCGAACGGCAAACAGATTGCATTACAACAAGTTGCACGGGAACGATGCAGCACGTTTGGAAAAGGGGGGAAAAGTGGAAAATCGGATGGGGGGTGATGGAGGAGGAGAAACTTTATTAAATTTACGCAAGTAAATTGCAATTTATTCCCAGCTCCATTTTGTACCACTCCCTTCTTCTCGCTTTCTCCCTGGCCAAGGAGTCATTTTAAATTGGTTAAGGCAGGCAACGGTGCGTATGCGTAATGGCCGAAGGGCCGAATAAAATAGTTGGTACCACAGAGCGTATACTTGATGACAAAATGGGAAGCCGTGGCTTAGGCTTTTATTATTCGAATTTTGAGAATTTAAAGAATATTTTTATACAAATTGATTGAAAAGTTTAGGTTTGTACTACAGTGCGTATACTTGATAGGTAATGATCAAAATTTCTTTTGACTTTCTTTGACTGTTTTGAATAGTTTTTCTTCTATATTGCAGTTTGTAACTCTCATTGAAGTCTCGAAAGAAATGAATTTATACCAAACTTTCACACATTTAGTATCTGTAATTCGCAAATTACCATCCCAAGTCCCCCACAACTTCCTTTTTCTTAAATTTCATCTAAAAATAGTTGCCTTAAAGTCCTGGCATTCTAATCAATATTCAGCGTGGCTTATTTAAGTCGTATTTCGTTTCCCAGTTACAGCCACCAAATTGGGCTTAGAGCTTGGTCAGCAATGCAGTTCGTGTTTCGTTTGCCATTTTACCATTTGGCCACCAAAACATTTTTCCTGCCTGAGAACGCATTATTTTGTCATTTGCATTTGCTTTGCTCTATTTTTTTCTATGGGGGGGAGATGGCGGAATTCTTTCCTTTTTTTCGTTTTCCCTGCTGTGCTGTTTTTGGCGCTTTGTTCCTTGCATTTCTAGCCCGCAGGCCGGGCAGATGTTTTCCTTTGGCTGCATTCAAATCCCAAATCCAATCCCAAGGCTCCTCGCTGCCAGTTTGTCCTTGGGCCAGCCAAGTCGAAGTTGCGGAGGCTCTCGGTTTCTTTTTCGGCCTGTCAAATCCCGCACAAATCGAGTTAACTTCTCGGCACCAAAAGGGAAAACAAAACGAAAAAAAGGAAAGGAAAAAGAAACAGCAGCGAGAAAAACACGAAAAGGGAAATACAAATTCTCATTCTGCATGCAACCCCGTGACCCGTAACACGTAGCTCCCCTCCTCCTCCTTGTCCCTCACTCATTTGGGCCGCCTTCGGCTAAATCAACAAACAAACTGCGACATCATCTGCATCCGCGTGTCCTTGCAACCTGTCTCTAATTAGTGGAACTATTTGCCCAGCACAGTTGCCCCCTTTTAGCCCCTTTTTTAGTCGCTTTACTTTGGCGATAATTATGCGCCTGAGATTGAAGGGGTTCCCCTTGAAGATTTCGGCATTTATATTTACTTCTTTATGTTCATTTTTCATGAATGATGATCACGAATGAGCCCTTGCATGGAATTCATTACTGCGAATAAATGATTCAGTGAGAGATTTGAGAAGTAACATCTTCAAATATTAAAATCAAAATGCAATTCACAGAAATATCTGAAATAGTTTCAAAAATAATTACTAAAAGTAAAGGCATTTATCTGGGATACTTTGTCATCAAGTTGGTGGCATTCTCTTCATAGCTCCTTCGACTGATTCTGATTCTGATTCTGACTCAATGGGAAATTTATTTGCTTTGAGCAATTGACTTTGGAGCGTTTTGAATGTTGAACATTCACTTGAAATGCGGATCGTGACGTTGGCAGGACAAACGTAAGGACTCCGTCGACTGGACATCGTCTTGCTAGCGTACCTTACCTAGCTAGCTACGCTTTTTATTTGCCAGCCGGCAAAGGGTTGGGTATCAAGGGGAGGGCGTATACGTAATGTGCCCTGCTGGGCCACAAAAGTCCGTCCCTAGCCGTTTACGAACTGCGTGTGCAGTGTGCGACTTTCGAAGCCAAACAAAAGGACAAGGACGGACAGGCAATGAGCAGTAAGCAGCCCGTCTATTGCAGGCACTTTGAATTATTAAAACTGCACCACAAGGATAACAATAACAAGAGCCGAGAGGACCAGAATCCAAACCGAACGTCCTTTGTGTCGTGTTTTGTGCATTTGACAACGCAAAACGAAAGACACCCGGATGGAAAATGCATATACAACATTTTAATTTCAGCTTGGATATTCGCTTCTCGATTTTCAATTTTCGGGAAAGGGGCGGAAAACCATGTCGTACTTGGTTGGTAGTCAATGCCAATTGGAGGGTCCATATAAGGGATAGGCAATGGATTATCCCTAGAAATTATATTCATTTTTGTAGATTTCTTTACTTGATATTTTTAAGCAATTCAAATCTTACAATCCCAAACACAAAGTAACCACCAATATTTCAAAGTGTACTTCCTTTTGGCAGGACTAAAAATCCGCACTGCCTGTGAAAAGTGAAAAGTGAAAAGCATGGAAAACTTTTGTGAGAAATCGATGCCAGATTTAATTAGTCAGTGCCAACTGTTGACAGCCGAAGGAGGAGACAGTCGAAGGATCGGCAGATGCAGAATGCGATTCCCAAGTCCTTCGATAGGGGCGTGGGGGAGGAGTAGTGTGGGTACAATAAAGGGAGATGGCAGCTTGCCAGGACATGTTTAGTGCCCGTTTTTACCCTCCATAAAGAGGAGCCTTCAGCAGGATCCTTGTTACACCCCCCCCCCTCCTGTTCGTTCACCCCCCTGTCATTCAGGTGGTGTTCTGTGCTGCGTCAGGAGGTTTGACATGTATGTTGTCCTGGCGAAGAAATAATTTAGCATACTTTTATGCGCCTCCCTAGGTTCCTATTTCTCGGCACTAGCTGTGTGCGAGCTTGCAGTGAGTTGCATGAGGAATATAGGGTATATTTATGGGTCTTTCCTTTACTTAGAGATTATGGAAAGTTTTTACT